ATCCTTCAAGAAAAACATGATTTTCATGCAGGACAATGCTCCATCACACGCGTCCAAGTACTCCACAGCGTGGCTGGCAAGAAAGGGTATAAAAGAAGTAAAACTAATGACATACTGTGTGAATGGACAACGAACCTTGGTAGGGAACAGCTGTTTATCTATCATGTGTCATGTGTTCTCCTGGAGTGAATCTCTTAGCACAGTTCTTGTTGTAGTATGTCCAGATGTCGGAGATCGCCGCAAATTTGTCTGTTTTCACCCGTTCTGCCCGCATGTCCTTGTCATCAAATCGAAGGTGTTGCATAACTAAAATGAAACTATCTCGGGGCATTGTGTCTTTGATTACTGGCACCAGAAATCTTTCTGACCAGCAATCTAGAATGGCACCAACGGGACACATGATTGCTCTTACAAACAGAATGGAAATGAATTCCATCACTTCAACAATTGACAAATTCCAGTCCTGCTCTGCTCTGCGGGCTTGATGGACCCGTACACTCCCTGATAGTCTGCAGCATTCCCAGGTCTAACAGGCAAAGGAAGCTTTGGAGCACACTTGTAATTTTATGCTGTCGGAAGATAAACAAATAGAGAATGGTAAATTTACATGAACCTCACTCTAAATGGGTTTATATAAATATCATATCTACTATGGCAGTGACAAAAACTTAGCAGACTCTGTGGGTCCAGCTTGCACAGTGAAGCACGAGCGATTTGCTACTGCACTGGGCATTCCAATGTCCTCCTCTAGCCGTCTTTTGCCATGTGGCTCAGACACGGCTTTCTAGTACCACGGTGCCTCTTCCGTGGAGGCATGTTGGGTTCTTGTTCCATCTCCTTTTCAGATTCTTCTGAGGAGGTATCAGTGGCTTGCTGGACAAATGAAACCTCTCCTCCATCAGAATCTGCTTCGTTCATTTCCTGAAGCAAGGCCAAAGCCTGTTGCGCGGAGAAGCTCTTCCTGCGTGGCAGTGATACGGAGGCCATCCTGATGTGCGTTCTCAGAAATGCGAACGGGAAAATGATTCTCCCTCCTGGGTCGGTCTGCTTTTGTGCACAGCACTGTGCTGTAGTCATGCAATGCCACTTCCTCACATACACAGTGACAATGGAACAATGGAAGATCTGTGCTGAGAGTCAAGGAAGGTGTAAATGTGTGTCTTTCATATTTGCAGGTCCGTCACAATGTGTGGGATATTTTGTATAGATATGGCAGGCATTTCTGAAAGTTGTGACACAGAGGTTTAGCCTGGCTTGGATCTGAGCAACTCTGAGTGAACAAATGCAAATGTGCCAGGCCTCAAAGATAATGGGTGGTTTGCACAACAAAAGCAGGAGGAGAAAATCTCAGCAGGGGTGAATAACACCTCGGGACTTGCACCAGAAAACAAAAAAGTCAGTAATCTAGTAGGTCTTAGGTTCAGGGAATTTACGCAAATTTGCGCAGGCTTAGTAATTCTAGTGGTATTACTAAGCGACGTAACGGGCAGAACAATTGCATTCTCTTCCACTAGAAGGTGCTAATTAAATGGGTTGCCAACTGCCAGTAAAACAGAAGAAGGCGAAGAAGAAGTCATGCTGCGAGATGATGCAGCGCCTGA